AACAAAGCCTTAATCCCACTACGTGGGGTCGGCTACATGAATCCTTTTTCTCCATTGCGTCCTATTTAGTGTCATATTTTCATTTAGTTCTAGTAAATTAAGATCATTTTTAATACAATAAGCCCAAGTCTTCCTAGGTCTACCTCTGCCTTTCTTAACACAAGTCGAATTTAAAACATCTACTCTCCTAATCGGATCATCTAATGGTCGACGTTTAATATGACCAAACCATCTAAGACGACTTTCTCTAATTTTGTCTGTCACAGGAGCTACACCAACCCTATCACGAATATATTCATTCCGCATTTTGTCTCTAAGTGTAAAGCCACTCATCCACCTAATCATTCTCATCTCGGCAACACTTAACTTATTATGCATGCATCACAAGCATAATAATTATTTTTTTTTAAATTTATCTTAAACATTTGTGATGTTCTCTTATCATAAAAAACTCTCTAGGCATTTGTCCATTTTAACCATCCATTTTCCGCATTAGAAGTTATATCATCGATATCTTAACTCTTTTGTTTAATAGATCCAAACTTAAAACCTAATTTTTTCTTCTAACAATATTTGTTGACATCATACCACTAAAATTAAATAATATATTTTCAATATTTATGTAATTATTCTAAGTTTTTCTCTTAAAAATTTTTACCACTATTTTTTTAAATTATTTAAGTGAATATTTATCAATTAAAATTATATAATTTGTGAATAGAACATACATTAGGGTAAATGTCTTTGAATACCTTTATTAGTATCTTCATAACCTGTAAAAAGGTTCAATATTGATATTTGTACATTAAAAATTCTTTGATTTTGTCCACACTATTTTTAATAGTATTTAGTGCTCAATCATCCATTTCATTAATGACATTAGCATATCTTCAACACTCTTTTCTATTTTAAAGCAGACCAAATCAATTATTGTGGCACTCGATTATATAATTTCTTAAAATCAACAAAAATCATATGAATATTATTTCTTTGTTTTCTATGCATCTTCATTAATTAGTTAATACAAAAAGAGCTTTATAGTTGATATTTCTAGCATGAAATCATATGGTTTCTCCAAAATTATTGTAATTTTTAAAGCCTATATTTCATTATTCTCTCTCATAGTTTCAGGGTACTACTTACGAATTTGAATCCTATATAATTAGCATATTCTTGAACAACATAATTGTTTTTACATCTTTATTAAAAATCTTATTCTCCTATCCTTTGACTTATTTTTAACTTTTAAATTCTTAAATATTTAGTAACCAAATCATTGCATTATCCTCCATAATTATTCAAAATTCATTATGCGACTCATTTAAATCAGAGGTGAAGTTTTAAACAGCTTTTTAGATTCAACTCTAAACCTTTTTTTTTAAATAATATACTTCGTTCTATTGTTCGTTATGCTCTGTCAAAATACTTTCTTCCTTAAAACTCTCATTAGTAATTCTTATAGTAATATTTTTATGTTTAACTAAGATCTTATTATCTTTGCTTTTGATGCATCTAAATTAATCTATTTTTTTAGATCTCTTATATCTTATCTTAGTTATTTTATATATCTTCTATTTTCCTTCATTAGTATTAAGCCTTTAATATAAATCATCAATAGCTTTTGTTTTTGCTTTTCTTCTCTATTTACAAGACTATAGCTTATTTATAATTATCATAAGTCTTGATAATACTTAACTTTTACTACTAATAAACCTTAATACCTCTTCATTCCACAAAGTGTTCTTATTAATTTATGATGTATTTCTTGACTCCAACAATTTTTTTTTATCAATTCTTTTAATGAAACAAGCCATCTTATCCCATATTAGGTTTGGATCACCTAAAGAATTCTAATTTGCCTCTCTTAACAATATATCTTAGATATCATAGGAAGATTTACATTCATGCCACTCAATTCCTATGTATTTACATATATAACTCCTAAATTTCAATTTTTACAAATATGTCACCTTACCTATGCATGAAAAGGTGTATTTCATTTTTTAAAAGCTAAATAATTGTATTTTTTGTGTTATGAAAGATTTGAGTGGTATGAGTGTAAATATCAAAGTTTAGGTGTTAGATATGTAAATGTATAAGAATTATGTGGTATGTTTGTAAATGCCCATTTATCTTAGAAGATTAATAATTTTTCAACTTTTAAATTCCACCACTTTATTTTATGGTCAAATTTTTTTATTCTTTTTTAGTGGATATTTTATTTTCTTTCTTATTAACTTTTTTCCAATGGTCACATAATTTAAATTTGCACAACATTTTCTCTTCTGTGCACAACATTTTCTCTCCTATTTCGATTGCCTTATTTGAGTTATTAAACAATAGCATGACAATTTAACATAATACAACTATTTGCAAACTTTAAAGACCATATGCTAACATGGATACTAAATAGAAAAGTTGGTAAGCTTTATGATGCTAACATGGATACAAAATAGAAAAGTAGGTAAGCTTTGTGATGCGGGGCCTGGGGGCCAAAACCGGCTAGTAGGGGGGGGCTGAACTGGACCCAATCCTACTTAGGGTTGTGATTGTCACCCAAGGGGAGGGGTTTCTCCCTCCTAGTCATCCTTATTATAAATATGCTGCTTTCTGTGTTATGATTTAGTTTTTTGGTTGATATTTTTGTTTGGACAGCTTCCAATGTCCCCCTTCTCCCTTATTAGGTTGTATCTGACGACAAAAAAGTGCTCCAATGGTAACTTTTCCTGAGGTGGTCTGTATACTTCCCCTTTTCCTTGGCTTGCTTGCTACCATATCACATGTGTCGATCTTTTTTCTTGTTTCCCTGTTTTACCCAGCCATCTGCCCAAATTCACTGTTGCCGCTGCCGTCGCCGCAAAGCACCCCACACACCCCTTGCGGCTATCATACGACGACTCCCTGCTATAGCTCCTAACCCGCCAATCCTCCTACACGTCCACTGAGCTGACGCCTTCCCCTCCTGGCCTTCCTACTAACAACGCCTACCATATACACCCTCCCAGCCTACCACTATTCATCTCAGCCTCTATTCCCACTATCCATTACCAATCCCATCGCGCCCTGGCCAGAGAATTGCATTTTGTTGTGTTTTCGTTCCTGATTTGAGTCTTGAGTGTAACCTTGATTACTTTTGAGTAATAATATTTGTTACCCTTATTGTGGTTTGAGTTAACTCCAGTATGAATTGGTATCAGAGCTAGCATATGGTTTCCTGGCATCCGCCATATCTCAAAACATCTCCATCAATTTTTTTTCTTTTTCATCACCAAATACCCTTTCCACTCTCATAAATCCCAAACCTTAATCATGCCACCAAGTAGATACAAGCCCGAGTCGACCCGAAAAGAGATACAACGAGAGCTCAGTTGTCTTCAACAGAGACTTGCGAAGATTGATAAGGGAACCCATGGGGAGATTAACGTCGATTGTGACATGGAGAGTTGAAAGGGAGAAAAGAATGAGGTCCTGAGTCCCTTCCATGGAGATGACTTCAGTGATGAGGAAGACTGATACCGACGCTTTCGACTTCAATATCAGAAGAGGCCGAGCGAGGAGGCTACATATGGAGGACACAAACAAGGACTTCAAAATAAGGTGTATCTACCAAAGTTCGATAGATGTATGGATCCATATGACTTTATCGAATGACTACAATAAGTTGAGAGGATTTGAGCTGTCAGAAGATAAAAAGTGTAAAACTTGTAACCATCAAAGGACAAGGACTTCAAAATAAGGTGGATCTACCAGAGTTCGATAGAGGTGTGGATCCATATGACTTTATTGAATGACTACAATAAGTTGAGAGGATCTGAACTGCCAGAAGATAAAAAGTGTAAAATTTGTAACCATCAAATTAAGGAAGAGCTTCTCCTTGTGGTGGGAAAACTTGCAGAGGCATAGAAGGAAAAAAGATACTGAAAAGATTACCAAGTGGGTGAACCTGAAGAAGGCGATGTAGAGATGCTTTGACAAGATACTGAAAAGATTACTCAGGAGGGGCTTGGGACTTAAATTGGCCAAACCGATTTAATGGGGAGGCTGAACTGGACCCGACCCTCCTCAGGGGAAGACTAATGGGTTAGGCTTGTTTAATTATTGGAAAGAAGATCAGAGGCCTATTGAGATGTCGCTTGAACTATGCACAAAATGTGATGCTTTGACAATGAGGGATGTGGTTGTGATGTAGGAAGGATAGTGATGCTTTGATAAGTTATGGGAGGGAGATTCCAGGAGCTTTTTCTTTTTTTAACGACCAGTAAAGAGGATTGGAGAAACTGATTCTTAAGCTATAACTCCTTGTTGGCTTAGGTAGCTTGTTAATATATGCCATCACTGCCTGTCCAAAGCTTGAGTGGATAAGGCTAAGGTTGATGTCAAGCGGCTTTATCTATCAATGATGTAGCTCACTTTACATTTGTCTTTTGGGAAAATGTATTTTTATTTATTTTTTTCTTCATTCATGCAATTTGAACTTCATTTTTTTTCCAACTTATTAACAACATATTTTGTTGTTTTGTCTCTGAAGCCCAGAGGCAAAGAAAATACTCTTTTATGGTTGACTTGCCTTCTTTCGGATATGTTTTGTCAGCTTTGCTTTTCAAACCGTAACCACATTGGTGTTGGCTAACAGCCTTAAAGTGTGTTCTGAAAAGTTTTCTATCTAGAACAACTTTACATGATTGAGCTCATCATTTTACATTCTAACCATATTGTTATGTTTTGTGTTTTCACAAACAACTACTTTTCCTACATCAACTGCTTAAACAACTTTACAAACAGTTGCATTAGCCCCAAACGATCCCTTAAACATGGCTGTTTTTCTGCTTGTAAAATTCTAGTACAAAATTGGTAGCTTTAGCTCTTTCTATTTCATTTTTTGGTTCTTCAATGAATTATTGAGAGATTTCATTTGAATTAATTTGCGTATGAGTGACTCATCGATGATTTTGTTTCAACATCTTACAATATTAGACATTGATGTTTGAAATTTGCGTCAGTTATGGATTCTATGATGAATGCTTGCGAAAATATGGAAATGCAAATGTTTGGAAGTACTTCACAGATCTGTTTGATTATCTTCCGCTTACAGCACTGATTGAGAATCAGGTTTGCTCTTGATATCAATTTTATCTTTCCTTTATATTGTTTCTTATGCACATTTTTTTATTTGGTGTAGATTTTCTGCTTGCATGGCGGATTGTCTCCATCCTTGGACACCTTAGACAATATCCGCGCCTTGGATCGAATACAAGAGGTGTGTCACTTAGTAATGTCTATATCAAGTGCAAAGTTAAAAGTGACATGCATCTGGGAAGTTTGTCATTTAATTAGCTCTATTTGATGAAAGTGTCAAAACTGTCCCCTGACTTATTCAATGCAAGCATTTTTAGTCCAAAAATTTACAAAAGTGTCAATTTAATCTTCATACTCTTTTAATATGAGGTTAGAACGGTCCCCAACGAGGACTATTTTAGCTCCCACTGAAATATTCTGAGGACTAATTTAACACTTCTATAAACTTTAGGACTAAAATGACCTAGGAAGGACTAATCCCGTGCCATATGAGCATTTGGAAGAAAAAAAAAATGTGTATATCTTATCTAAAGGACCTTTTGAGATTACTTTTGATTTTTTTTTCTATTTTTTATTTTTATTTTATTTTGTTTATATTTTTAATTGAAATAAAACATATTTGGTAAGTTGTAACATATTTATTTTTTATTTTATTTTATTTTTATTTAGTTTTTTTTTTCTCTTGAACAGAAGATTTTTACTAGCATATGGCATACTTATATTCCATCATCCTTAGAGAAAAATACTGTGTTTCCTGAACTGGTTATTATCCATAACTGATAGATGTTGTTGGCATCATTGACATGTTTTTGGAAGATTTACATGATACTCAATTCTTATGTATTTACATATCGAACACCTAAAGTTCAATTTTTACATATATGCCACCTTATCTATGCATGTAAAGGTGTATTTCACTTTTTAAAAGTTAAAATAGTGGTATGAATATAAAAAATTAAAGTTTAGTAGTTAGATATGTAAATACATAAGAGTTGGATGGTATGTATGTAAATGCCCCAATCTTTTTCATATCTAACTTGCTTTTTTGGGTTGCAGGTCCCACACGAAGGACCTATGTGTGATCTTCTATGGTCTGATCCAGATGATCGATGTGGCTGGGGAATATCTCCGAGGGGTGCTGGATACACATTTGGTCAGGACGTTTCGCAACAGTTCAATCACAAGAACGGTTTGTCACTTATATCGAGAGCTCACCAGTTGGTCATGGAAGGCTATAATTGGTCTCAGGTAAGCTTCGATGGAAATGCAAATCTGCTAATACCATGTTAATCAATTTAATTTTTGACACTTCTTAAATAACGGCGGGGGCGCATCTTGGCCTGATTTGGAAATGATGCTCTTCTTTTGAACAACACATTTAGTGGGAAGATTTACATACATACCATTTAATTCGTTTGTGTCAATCTGTAAGGATGGAAAACAGTCAGCTAAATTAGGAGTTTTCTATAATTAGGAGATTCCTTATTTAAATTGTTTCTAATGTTTTTGTTCTGATTTATTTCCCTTTTAGCCGAATATTTCGATCGAGAATATGTATTATTTAGTTACTCAAAATAGATTATGCACTTTATTTTGTACCTAAAATAGATTGTAAGATTATTATTTAATGGAATGAAACCAAAGGGAAAAGACATCGAGTTTATTCATAATTCAGCCTATTTTTCTCAAAACATTGACATGGTATCAAAGCTAGAATCGTGTGAATCCTTAGTGTTCTCAGCAGCAGCCCTAGCTGCGATATCTTCGTCGCGACATCTTCATTTGCATCTGCTTCGTTCGCCTGCGCAACTTCGCGTCTGCGTCTGCTTCTGCTACGTTCCCCTGCGTTTGTCTGCGCCTGTTTTTGCTTTGTTCGCGACATCTTCGACAACTTTGTTCGTCTGCATCTGCTTCGTTCGCACAAAACTTCGCATCTTCTCTATCCTAGCTGCGCCACTTCATCACTTCGCCATTTCGTCGCGTCGTCTTTGCCCTAGCTGCGACTCTCCTCGTCAACTTGAGATATCCTCGTCAAGGGACATAGCCGCGATCTCCTCTTCTCCCTTCGGAGCTGCGGCTCTCCTCGTCAACCTGCGATCTCCTCGTCAAGGGACATAGCCGCGATCTCCTCTTCTTCCCGCGTCTTTGCCCTAGCTACGACTCTCCTCGTCAACCGTCGTCTCTGCCTTAGCCGCGGCTCTCTTCCCTCGCACCGGCCTTAGAGCTCTGGTCCTCTCCTACTCAAAATCTTTGAGGAAGGTACATCTTTGAGCAGCTGTTGATATTCACAAGAGGCGGACTCATCTTATGGAATTGCAAGGAGCTCAACAACGCCATCAGGGGATCTCCAATCATGCTTTCCTTTTAAGCTTTTTGCCACCTCGAGTTGCGGCGCTGGTCTGGTTTCTTCTTCTTATTGTTCTCTGCTCTTCTCGTGAAGAACATGGTGGAAAAGAAGAAGCATGTCTTGAAGAATATCAGACTTGATTGACAGACAAATAGATATCACAGGTCTGCTCGCCAGGAGATGGAACTTATTCTAAAGTACAAAATCCATTCATTGTGGAATACAAGGATTCTTGGGTTAAAAAGGGTTGTTATGCTTGTATTATTATTCGTTCAATTTGGATCTTCTTTGTTAGGCATCGCTGCTTCTATGACATCTTCTACTACTTCTTACGCTTCGCTTTGTCCGCTTCGGCTTCGGCGCTCCTTCCTAGATCGATGGCTTCAAACCATAGATCTTAGGCTTCTACATTCACGGCTTCAACACTTATGACTTCGACACTCTCGACTTCGACACTCTCAGGCTTCGGTACTCTCAGGCTTTGGCACTCTCAGGCTTTGGCACTCTCAATCTTCGGCATTCTCGGCTTTGGCACCTTCGGCTTCGGCACTCACGGCTCGAGGACTTTTGGTCCCGACAATGTTATCAATTTATTGTTGGCAAATTAACACTTTATAATTAGTTAGCATCAATTTGAGAAGGATGTCAATTAGAAATGTCGAAAATCAGGTAGTTAAATTAGGATTTTTCTATACTTAGGAGCTTCTTTATTTAAATTATTTCTAATGGTATTTATTCTTATATATTTCCCTTTTAGCTGAATGTTTAGATTAGGAGTATGTATTATTAAGTTACCTAAAATAGATTATACATTTTATTTTGTACATAAAATAGATTGTAAGATTATTATTTAATAGAATAATAACAAAGGGAAAAGACATCAAGCCTATTCAGAATTCAGCATAGCTTTCTCAAAACTTTGACAAGTTTGACAGTTTGTATTTACATATTTAACTCGTGAACTTTAATTTTTATATATGTCTCCTTACCTATGCATGAAAAGGTACTTTTTATTTTTTGCAGGGTAAGCATTAAAGGTGCTACAGTTAGTGGGGTTCAGTGTGATTCAAACGGGCACCCGGTGGGAGACAAGCTCTCGACGATGTGGTCAATGGTTGAAAAAGGTGTATTTCAATTCTTAAAAATTAAACTGATGGTGTTTTTTTCGTTTGGGGGGGGGGGGGATCACTGATAAATAGCTATGGAGGATTCATAAAGTAACCTTAGCCTGGAGTTTCTTCCCACTTAAATGCAAACGATTGCTTCGCTGAACTAATATTTATTTAAGGGAGATTTACATATATACCTCACAACTCTTATGCATATCTAACACCCAAAGTTTGATATTTACACTTATAACACCTCGGAGTCATCTACAGATTTTGATCATTTTTCACTTTCCCCCACCTCAAATGACCTTCCATCAGTTAAATTTTTTCATATTTATACCACAGGATCAGAATGTTGTTACAGTATTCAGCGCGCCAAATTACTGCTACAGATGCGGTAATACGGCGGCCATACTGGAAATTGGGGAAGACATGTCCCAAAACTTCTTACAATTTGATCCAGCTCCAAGGCAGGTTGAACCAGATACCACCAGGAGGACCCCTGATTATTTTTTGTAAAATTGATTGCTTTCTATATATATATATATATATATATTGGAAATTTACATACTAAGCACAATTCTTATAAATTTATGTATCTCGCACCTAAACTTTCATATTTTCACGCATAGCACTTTGTTGCTTTAAACGTATGCAAGAAAAGGTGTGTTTCACTTTTTAAAAGTGAGAATAGTGCTATTTTTTATGTGATTAAAGATTTTTGAGTGTTATGTGTGTAACTATGAAATTTTAGGTGTAAGATATAACTGGAGAGATGTTCTTGCTGCTGCTGCTTCTTGCTTTTGCTTGAATATTTCACCATACAGATTTTTCAAAGCTCCTCTCATGCTGATTTGCTTTGCATTTTCCTGATGAATTTTGTCTAAAGTTGCATCTTTGTCAATGGGTTTATGTTATCTAAACAAAGAAGTTTTGGAGTCAATTTGTTTTAATTTGTTTGTA